TCTTTGTAAGAGCTACAGTTTAGTTTATTTCTTCATACCATAATTAATGATGGCCAGTCGTGCTAACATCAGACAAAGTAAAGACGATATACCTAATACAAGAGAATCACCACATATCGTAAATGACTCACCTGGTACTCGTCATTTTATTGAACTCGATGATACAGGAGAAAAGTCGATTATTGAAGAACAATTCCTGACACTTAATAATTGTAACGGTTTTAAAATAGCCCATTTGAATTGTGCGTCTTTAACTAAAAACATTGATGAAATCCGCATTTTATTGAAACGAACCAATATAGATGTATTAACCTTAAGTGAAACTCACCTTTCTGATTTCTTTGATGATTCAGAAATTTCTTGTGATGGATATAATATTGAACGAAAAGATAGAAACAGAGCAGGAGGAGGTGTTGCTACTTATGTAAGAGAAGACATTAATTACATTGCTAGGTCTGATTTTTCTGTTGAAAATTTGGAAACAGTCGTTATAGAGATCAAACGACCATACTCTCGCCCTGTTATTATTGTTAACTGGTACAGACCGCCAAACTCAAATCTTGCCATTCTTCAATCATTTGAGACGTTGTTAGAGAAAATTGATGTATTGAACAGTGAATGTATTATTCTGGGTGACATGAATTGTGATCTTTTGAAAACAGATAAAGCTCCTTATACGAAACATTTGTGTCAAATAATGGAAAGGTATAATTTCAATCAGTGTATTACTTCCCCGACTAGAGTTACACATAATACTTCGTCAATTATTGATTTGATATGGACAAATGAACGTGATAAAATTGGACAAGCAAGTGTTATTGAAATATCACTCAGTGATCACTATCTTGTTTATTGTACATTGGGGAAAACAAAAGGGTGTAAACAAAATGAACATAGGCACAAAGTAGGGAGAAACATGAAAAAGGTTGATGTTGAAAAATTAAAGGAAGACGTTGCTGCTTTATCGTGGGAAGTAATACAAAACATGAACAGTGTAATAGAGGCGTATGATTGTTTTGAAAAGACACTTTTAAGTATACTTGACAAACACGCACCCGTGCGCAAAAAGAGAATTAAGAAAAAAGAGTCTCCTTGGATTAATAACGATGTATTATTATTGATAAGACAAAGAAATGATCAAAAGAAAAAAGCGAAACAAACTGGTGATTCTGAGGATTGGAAAAGATATAGAGAATTACGAAATAAGGTTACTGCATGTATCCGTCAAGCAAAGAAAAATTACATCACTCGTAGTATCAATGAAAGTAATGGTAAATCAGGAGATATATGGAAATCGTTGAAATGCTTAATGCCACAAAAACATAATTCTGTGAAAATATCCCACATTGAAATAGAAAATAATATGATTGATGATAAAATAGAAATTGCTGATTGTTTTAATTGTCATTTTATAAATATTGGGCAAACAGTTCAGGAAAGTATTGTGACCCTTGATGATCATGGTCAAAACGATTCAAACCCTGTTATGCATACTGTTGTACCTGGAGATGGATTCCATTTTGATCTAGTTAATGAAGAACAAGTTTTAAATGTTATTAAGAATTTAAAAGATAAGAAGGCCTGTGGTCCAGATAATGTACCAGCTGAATTTTGGAAAATTGTAATGACTTATATTCTCAAGCCTTTAACATATATCATAAATTTGTCTTTTGAGCAAGGTGTTGTCCCTCTACAATGGAAAATGTCTCGTGTTACTCCAGTTTTTAAATCAGGAAAAAAGTCTGATATGAACAATTATAGACCAATATCAATTCTTCCGGCGATAGCTAAAATTGTTGAAAAATTGGTATTTGATCAACTTTACGGTTATATGGATCAGAACGGAATTATAAGTTGCAATCAGTCAGGTTTTCGCCCGAAACACTCTACAATGACATCTCTATTGAACGTCACGGAAGACTGGCTTGATAGTTTAGATAAAGGTAATCTTGTAGGCGTGGTGACCCTTGACTTAAAAAAGGCGTTTGATACAGTAGACCACTCAATTCTTTTAAATAAGCTACGGCTTATTGGCTTGAATGTAATGTCATTACAGTGGTTTAGTAGCTACTTAGCCAATCGCATGCAATACACTTGTGTAAATGGGGTTCATTCCAATTCACAACAGATGCAATGTGGAATACCGCAGGGGTCAAATATTGGCCCATTGTTATTTATCCTATTTATTAATGATATGCCTTTATGTCTGAAAACATGTAAAATATCTTTATATGCTGATGATACGTGTCTATATAACGCTAGTGCAAATCATCAAACTCTTACCGAATCATTAAATGCAGACTTATTACTTATTGATATTTGGTTAAAAAGGAACAGACTTGCTTTAAATGTACCAAAATGTGAATTACTTTTTATCGGAACGAAGAAACGGCTAAAAAATATTATAGTGCCAGATGTTTACATACAAAATGTTCCTCTCAAACGTGTAACCCACTGTAAGTATCTTGGAATAGTTATTGATGAACATTTGGATTGGGGTAAACATATTAAATATTTAAGTAAGAAGGTATTAAAAGATATATATTTGTTAAAAAGAATTAGACCATATGTTACAGAGCAAACTGCACTAATATTTTATAAATCAGTAATACAATGTAAGTTTGATTACTGTAGTGCAATTTGGGGGAATACCGGAAAAGGAAATTTAGACAGTTTGCAAAAGCTGCAGAATAGGACATTCCGGGTGGTACTTCAAGTTGAATGGAGGTTCCCAAGCCGAGATTTATTTCTTTGTCTGAAAATAGAAAATCTATCAAAACGGAGAGATGAACATGTTCTATGTATTTTGTATAAAATAGTGCATGGAATGATATATGGTGGGTTTAGAAAGTACTTTGTTATTAAAGAATATCATTATAGCTTGAGAAATGCTCATAAAACCTTAGAACTGCCAAAACCACATACGAATTTTAAGAAAAGGAGCTTATGTTATAGAGGCATTAAATCTTGGAATCAGCTACCTATGAACGTTAAAAATATGTCTTTCTCTGTATTTAAATCAAGGTAATATAAATATTAATTTTATATTTTGTTCACTTAAATATATATTTATATAACTATAAAATCTAAAATATACGCTGTTTGGAAAGAATAACTGCCGACGGGGGGGGGGGGGGGGCTGGGTAGTAGTATCTTGGTTTGTAAATTTTCATTTTTCTTTGTATACTTATGTTCTTGTTTTTGTTTTTTATTTTTGTTTTTTTAATATTTCATATGTTATGATAATATGTGTTATCTTATAATTGTACATGTAATTTTTATATTGCGCACGGACCAACAGAAGAACAGCCTTTGGCTGAAGTTGGTGCCGTGCAAAAATAAAATAAACTGAACTGAACTGAACTGAACTGAACTGAAACTGTTGCTGCCTCAAGATACCGCCCATTCCACCGAAGAGACTATATACTGCATAAATCAGTGCGACCAACGTGCGTTGTAAGTGCTTACTCGGTACGGTCCACGTGAGTTCTGCGTGCTCATTGGATAGCTGAACTGGGGAAGTGGTGAGTAAGCACGGACCACGCACTTATCACGTGCGCCTTTAAAAGGCGCACGGAGTCAGTGCGTTGCGCGCTCGTTGGCAGTACCGGGCACGCACGTCACACGCACAGGGGTGAATCGGTAGCCCGAACGCAGCCCGAACGCAGCGAATACGCGCGTACGGAGGCGGTACTCATCACGTACGGATACCCAAATTTTGCCCACGTTTTTGCACGTAGACAGCACGCACTTGCAAGTACGGCGGGATGTGACCACCGCATTACAGACAAAAATGGATGAATTAAATGTTAAATAAGTGCGTCTTTAAAGCAATCTTAAACTTAACAATGGAGTCAATGTTTTTTAGATGTTCCGGGAGATTGTTCCATAAAGTTAAGGCAGTGTGAGCGAAGCTGCGTTCACCATATGACCTGGTCATCACTGGTTGAATAACAACCAATTTTTTCTTATTAGAACGAAGATTTCTAGAAGGTGTGTACAATGTTAACAGCTCTATCAAATAAGGAGGCGCAAAATCGTAAAAACATTCATAAGCTAACAACAATATTCTGAATAAAATGCGAGAGTGAATGGGTAGCCAGTGTAAGTCTCTTAAAATAAGAGACACAGATTCATGTTTCCTAATACGATTTACAACAAATTTAAACATATAAATTAATATTCAAGTAAGTTACATTCCAATGAATGACTTACTTACAGTGATGACTTACTTAAAAAGTATATTCTTCAACACTGAATTTCAAATATAATCAGTCTTCATTTCTCAAGTGCAACAATAGTGATTTTGATACGTTTACAAAAAATAAACTTTCTAGATATGCATCTTCCCGTCTTATCATATCAATAATTCATCTTCAAATTATGTCACCAGTCAAATGACAGGTTTGGTGACCCTTATAATTTATACAACAAATATTTCTCCAAATGCTACGAAGTTCGTATAATCTCTTCATTTTCGCCATCTTTTGATGCGCCTACTTTTATTTCGCCTTCTTTTTATTTTCGGATTTTTTTTTTTTTTTACTGTATTGTTCTTTATGTTTTACATATTGCACGGGGAATAAAAAGCAAATAAATGTGAATTCTCGTCTGCAATGAACTCCATATTCTTCAAATTATCATCTTAGAATTATTTACGTGGTATTCCCCCCGGCTTTGTCCATACAGATGACCTACCATTACTGTGATCAATAATGTTACATTATTTTATTTTTACCATGCTATAACCGTAACTTTATGAAACGGGTCAACGTTTCACGAAACAGTCGTACAAGTTCACTATTATCCGATTGAAACGCGTGTATTACATCGGATGTCGGCGAATTTGAACTTATGACTGCTCCGTGAAACGATGCCCTGTATAATCATCTCGAGAAAAAGCTACAATGTTTTAAATTTATTGACAATCCCAAGTTTAACAGCAGATTGACTATACAATTCAATTAATTTATGGTCTACATGATTGCCTCAACCAGCACTTATGCATGATCCTTGTTTTGGCTTTCCTGGCAGAATGTCGGGAATTTCCAATACCCTACTGATCCATACCCAGTCATTATTCCGACGCAGTTGATTGCAAGAGGATCCAGGTCAGTGGCGTCTATAAAGGCTAGTTGTGTATCATAACGACTTAACTTAATATAACCGTTGGCGAAGGATAGCTGGTAGTGGTCAAAAACTGGACTTCCTGTCAGACGGAAGTCTTGTTGAGGAGATAATTCTCTCCAAGTCAAAAGATCGGAACTGGCACTTCGTCCGATAACGCTACGAGCATTGTTCCATCCACCGATAACTGTATGATAAATATAAGTTCCCAAGTTCATACTGTTCATTTCGTTTTAACAAAAGTAAATGAAAAATAAGAGAGAGGAGAAGTCATTGGTGCGCAGTGCACGCTTCCTCTTTACCCCCTCCCCTCCCCATCCTTCCTTCCTTCCCTACCCCTTCCCACCCACCCCCTCCACACGTGGAAAGCTTCCAATACGTGATACATTGTGATGCATTGTGAAAGAAGACGTAGCACAACGAGAGGGCGGTACAGAGTGTATTGCGCCCCCCCCTAAAACAGCCCCTTTCCCTTTCCATGGAACGGGGACAAAGGGGGATAAAGGATAGAGAGAGGAAGAGGGGGTGGGGGGAGAAAGATTGTGTGTGTTTCATCAATCAATCATGGGCAAACTATCTTTCATCACGTGATTTACTTTTGACCAATCGTAGCGCAAGATTCTTTGTATGTTGAATATTATTATACTACAAATGAGTTATTGTTTAATTATGTTTTTGTACTATAAGCAATTAATATTGAAAACGTTTATTTATTTTATTTAATTGTATGTGTTTGTTTGTATTACACATTAATTTGGAGGAATAAAACAAAATTACAAAAGAAGAGTGTGCGTGTGCGAGTGTGTGTTAGAGAGCGAGAGAGAAAGAAGGGAGTTAAAGATACATATTTTATATAATAAGCAAACAATTACCGTTGGTGAAGATGATGGGACAAACTATCACTTCCGAGGCAATCTGGATGTAACTATCTTTCCGAAGCGAAGCTGAGGAAAGAGAGCGTATACATTCAGATCGCCGAGGAAGTGATAGTTTGCCATCGCCTGAAACCAAAAGGTGATTATTTGCTTTATATTCCTTTATATTCCACTTTGGAAACATTTCACTTCTTCTGTCATTTTAGAGCAACAAATCATCAATTAACAACTAGCAAACGGTGTACGATACGTACAGTCCATGCAGTACGTACATACATGTACGTATGCGCAACGTATACAAGAAAGTGCTTTGCACTTTGTAGATTCTATCTTCAGTGAAAGTGCGTTGCACTGTGTAGAAAGTACTACCATCTATCACGTGATTTACTTTTATCCAATCGTAGCGCAAGATTCTTTGTATGTGGAATATAATATGTAATACAGTTAGATCATCGAGCCAGCAAACTAGTGTATCTAGGCTAAGCCCTTCCGGAAATTTGCATTTTCTATAGTGTGTTGTAAACAGACAGACAATATACACATGGTGGAATCTCTGCCTGTTAAATACCTACGACTTATACCACTTCCCACCTCCATGTTGCACCCTCTTCTTCAACATTTTAAGACTTTTGATTTTTAAAGGTAAAGACCAGTATTGGAAACGCCCCAATTTCAAAAAATGAAATGGAAGCTCATATTACCAATCCTGTGAAAGAATATGTTTTGACTAATACATGATGATACAAATTTTGCCGGATAAAATCGCCTACTAATTGATATATTATTTTGGTAAATTAGTTTATCTATTGGACTGTGAGAGATAAACGCACGTGTGCGTAGTCCCCTATACATCTTTCTGTGTACAGTGCTTGTAACTTTACGAAGACTGGGCCAAATTTCTTTTCATTTTGATGATTCCAGAACCTTGCAGTACACACCAATAGTTATATGCTAGATGATCAACCTTTTTTGATCGATTCCACAACGTTTCTTTCACAATGCAATCGCATGACCATAACTGGGCCCCGTCTTACAAAGAGTTACGATCGATCCAAATCAATCGTAAGTCCTCCAATCAATCGCAAGTTTGCAGTCTCCTATCTCTTATGTACATAGTTACGATTGATATCAATCGCAAATAAGTTACGATTGATATCAAATCTTTGTAAGACGGGGCCCTGGTCTTTATCTTTAAGCGAGGGTCCGTCGTGACGGAGCGAGAAGATTCAATATTTCTCGGGGGGGGGGGGAGGGGCGGTAGATATCCTCCAAAGAAATATTTCCGGGGACGGGGAGGGGGCGGGGGTGTCCCCTCCCGCCTACCCGGGATCGCAGCCCCTGACTCAAAATCTCAATGACACAACTGACTTACCAATTTCGTATTTTTCGTCTGACACGTTACTTGCGAAGAGTCCAATGTGCGCATCATTGTCAGCGCTGACCATGAAGTCAAATGACGTCACATTCTCAGCAATCCAGAAGCCAGGAAAGGCGTACCGTCTGGTATCACCCACATCAGGTGTGTGGAGTACGGGACACTCTGTCAAAACACATACGAGATACACACGGAGAGATAGAGAGAGAGAGAGAGAGAGAAAGAGAGAGAGAGAGAGAGACAGAGAGTAAGAGAGATAGAGAGAGAGAGAGAGAGAGGGAAGGGGTGGGAGGGGATCAAATCGCCAATAATTGCCCATGACAAAAAATAGATTTGAATCATCATTCTGGTGTTTACATCAACTTACGAAATCGAATGTAGGACTACAATGTAATAACATTTTATATCCACTGTATAACATTTCAAGTTGTTTCTTCATTTATTTGTTTATTCATTTATCATAGATTTATATTTATTTATTTGTTATTTATTTATTGCTTCATATTTCATTCATTACTAACCATTTATTTAGTTGTTTATATATCTATATATTATTCATCATTTCTTCTTGTGAAGTACATGCGTACAGATATTTGGAAACTGTAACAGTTTCGTAAATCCCTCTGGATTGAAGTTTAGCTTTTGACAAATTCTATAACCGCAATTAGTTATTGTTTACTTTTTTTGACGGAACACTTTTTTTGTCTGTATCTTTTTTTTCTCTGCAAAACATTATAATGGGAGGGGTCGGTGACTGCTTGTTTTCTTCAAAATGCACCATTATACACGACTGCATTCATTCTTTTATATTCACCTCATGATCTGATATCCCTTAATTCTATGTAGATATACATCTAAGTAATTCAACGGGATACATGTCCTGATACTATACCAGGCAAAAATTATTATTATTTCAATATTCTGAAACCAATATGTACACTAAAATCATTAAGGAATAATGGTAATGCATTCATAAAATACATTGCGTATATAATTACGTAAGTAATTGCGTAAGTAAATATTGATCTGCATGTAGGCAAATATACAAAAACTGGAAAACGTTAGTGTGATTCTTTTTATGTTCTATGTGCATTGTATTTGTAAAACGAATGTACCTTGTAGTAACAAAGCCAATGGATACAGAATCTCTATCTATTACCATGGATCAGTACAGATGAAAGGAAATTAAAGGAATATATATATATATATATATATATATATATATATATATATATATTTACTTATTTATTTATTTATTTATCTTATGGGAGGGTAGTCTCATTCAGAGCCTCGAAGGGGCCTTCATTTGATAGTGGTGGTGGTTATTTCACCTGACTGCTAAGAAAGAATAAATGCGTGTTAGTAAGCAACCAGACGGCCGACGGCTTCAGGTCCTCTCCGAGGGACATGGTAATGAGGATTAACGAGTAAAGATAATGAGGACTAATTAAAGGGCACTGCTCTACCGACTGAGCTATCGCGCCTCCCTTCGAATCCCGCTTCCTTGAATAATGCACAGAATAAATCACCTGCTACTCCACCAGTTGCGCTAGCAATAATATACTTACCACACACTGGACCGTAGAACATCGGAGGGCAAGTACATAGAAACGACGTCACTAACTGTTCGCAAGTCCCTCCATTTTTACAAGGAGTTGAAAGACAAACTGTGATAAAAGAGGGTAAAACATGGGTAAATCGTGAGGTAAAGAGAGGGGTAAATGATAGACCTTTAAATTCTCATCTTGTTTATCAGAGTATTTCGGACATGTGTCCCTCCCCCGTCCCCCCTCCCGCTTGACCGCGACTTTAAAAAAGCCTAACCCAGCCATCTTAGCGCTGCATTTGAATATCTAATGTGATTATTTACAATAAAGCTGTAAATTTCTATAGCTTACTGTCTGATGTAATTATAAAGATCCCTCAGCACAACATGAAGATTATTTGTGGTGACATGAATGCCCAGGTTAGCTCTGCAGACAGCAAGGGTTTCAGGACTAACAGAAATGGGCAGTATACTTGCTGAACATGACATTCGAATGTGACCTGATTGCGTGTAACACACGCTTTCAAAAAGTCAAAGAAAAGTTGTGGACATTTACATACCCAAATAAGAGCCAGGCACAACTAGAATATATCCTAGTGAACAAAAAGTGGAGAAATAGTGTGAAAGACTGTCAAGCTTACAACTCTTTTGTTGCCCCTTGAACTCGGACCATCAAATTGTCTCCACCAAAATGCAACTAAGCTTGGGAAGCAATACGAAGGTAAAAGCCAAATCAAATCTTTCTCATCATGACTGGCAGCTCTTTAAATCAGATTGTAGTATTAAGGAAGCATAAACAATGGAGGTAAACAACATATTTGAGGCAATGTATCAAGATATCGAGAATTCTACAGCGAACGAGATCTACTCTGCACTAATAGAAGCTCACGAAGGAGCAGCCACGAAATATGTACCAAAGAGAAAGGGTAAGGAGAAATGGGCGCCATGGGAAAACGAAAAGATCAGAGAGAAACGGAAATGCCTAAAGGTATATACATGTAGCATATAATAAAAAGAATGGCGCACCAACTGCCGAACATGCAGAAACACTTGACAAAGCCAAGAAAGATCTCCAGGATGCATACGATGAAGAGCAGTCAAACTACATAGCTAAAAAATGCACTGAGATCGAGATTGCATGGTGCAGTCTAACAGCAGACTAGGAAAGTATGGGATATTGTAAAAGAGATTACTGGAAAGGCCTCGACCCCATTGGATCAGCTTAGAGGTAAGAAAAACCAAGAGACACATAACCCAGTGGAAAGATCACTTTTCTTATCCTCTTGGTCAACCACCATCGGATAACAACAACCCAATAAGGAGGATGGTCCAAAAGACACTTCCAATTAAAACAAGCAAATTTACCATTGCAGAACTCAAAGTAGCAGTTACTCCCTCTCCAATAATAAATGCACAGGTGTGGATGGAATCCCAGCAGAGGTATGAAAGTCTGGTGCCCTTGACAAACAGCTTTTGGAAGTATGTAACAGAACACTTATCCATGGCGAGAAACCAGACTTGTGGTCTAGGAGCATAATAATCCCTGTACCAAAAAAGGAGATCTCAGTACCCCTCAAAACTGCCGTGGGATAGCACTGACCCCAGTAGCTGCAAAAGTATTTAACAAAATGCTTTTGAATAGAATCCGTCCTCACCTGGAACCCCTTCTCCGCAAGAACCAGAATGGATTCTGTCCAGGAAGATCTACAGCAGCGCAAATTCTAACTTTGCGAAGACTGGTGGAAGGTATAAGCAAAGCATTTGACAGCAGTGCTTACGTTCGTGGATTTTAAGAAGGCCTTTGATTCAATCAATTGAAAGAAGATGTCAGAGATCCTAAGAGCCTACGGAATACCACACACAATAGTTACAGCAGTAGGGGTGATGTACAAAGATACCACAGCTCAAGTACGTTCACCCGATGGAGAGACTGACTCCTGTACCATCTTAGCAGGAGTGCTTCAAGGAGATACCTTAGCACCATACCTATTCATCATAGCATTGGATTATGCTCTAAGAATGACTACTGAAGGGTTCGAGGATCTAGGCTTCACCCTACAGGAAAGGAAAAGTAGCAGATATCCTGCTGTAATGATCACACATACAGACTTTGCTGATGATATTGCACTAATTTTAGACAATCTGGAAAATGCACATGAGCTCCTAGACCAAGTAGAGTCTGCAGCAAGCCAAGTCGGTCTACAGTTAAACAGTACTAAGACAGAATTCATGTTGTACAACCTTCGTGAAGGCGAGATTTGTACTGCTGACAGGACAAAGTTGAAGCAGGTCCAAAATTTTCAGTATATACTTGGCTCGTGGGTTGATCAGTCAAAACAAGATCTGAATATCCGAAAGGCAAAAGCCTGGACTGATTTGAACAAGCTGACAGCCATCTTGAAATCAAACCTCGGTAGAAAACTGAAAGTCCGTTTCTTTTCAGTGGAAACTGTACTGCTCTATGGATCAGAAGCCTGGACTTTGACGAGTAGCCTGGAAAAACAACTGGATGGTTGCTATACAAGACTCTTGAGAGCAGCACTAAATGTCAACTGGAGGGACCATATGACCAATATAGAATTGTATAGGGACATTACACCGATCTCAGCCAGACTGAGAGACCGCCGCCTCCGTTTCAGTGGGCACTGCTGGAGGAGCAAGTGAAATCATTTCACAAATGCTCTTATGGGAGCCCTCAAGGGGCAAACGCACCAGAGGGCGCCCAGCGATGACTTACATTGACTAGTTAGAAAAGGACACATGTCTACCAAGGCAGGAGCTCCCAAAGATCATGAAGAATAGAACTGAATGGATAAAGCTTGTCAAATCAGTGCGAGTACGCTCGACCTAGTAGTAGTAGTATTTGCGTTGGTATACGATGTGGTGGAGATCAACATTAAATCGGCCATATTCTGGACTATAACGGTATGTCGCAAAACTACTCGCAATTATAATGAAAAAGTTTCGACCTGGGAAGGCATTCGACCTGGGTAAACCTCCCGATTTACTTGCGATATATGTCAATTTTTTAAAGTAAACATCGATTTGCACAAATTGCATTTTCTTGTAGAGGTGTCGTGGTCGATTGGATATGTCACCGACCGGACTGTCGAACACAAGGTCCACGATTCGAGTCCCGCCGTTACACTAATGTCCACTGGCAAGACATTGATCTACATTTGCCGCACTCAACCCAGGTGATGTAAATGGGTACCTGGCAGGAATTAGTTCCTTGAAATGCTAGAACGCCGTAATGGTAGCCGTGCCAAAGTCAGGGTAATAATTGAGAGCGTCAGGAGTGTCACGTATCACAGACATGAGCGCAATACAAGAACCCACTATCATTAGTAGTATAATTATTATTATATAATGTGATATGCGCTATACAAGAACCGAATATTATTATTATTATGAAATCTCATTATATGATAAATTATCTCATCCGATTCGGTGAGTGAGCGTATAATTAATATTTATGGCTAGATTTCTGTTGATTGTTATTTTAAGCCAATCAAATGCAGCGCTATAGGATGGCTGGGTAAGGTTTTAAAAAAGTAGCCACCGGGCACGGGTCAGCCGAGAATCCGTATAGTCTTACGGTCCTGTGAAGGCGTTGTCGATGATGACGTTGTCGCTGGTTGCGGGGTCTCTCTAGTTGACTTTGTGGTTGTTGTGGTAGTGGTTATGGCGCTAGTGATGGTGGTGTCTTTGTCACCAACAGTTATTGAAGAATTGTCAAACGAGTGACATTGGTAGCCAGTCATTGTCTCTTCGCACCAACCATGCTCACAGGGGTCGTTCATGCAGTCTGCAAAATCGTACAAAATGATATCAAAACTTTCATCAGAAACACCGATTGCTGGGCGATCATCATCGTCGTCATAATAATAATAATAATAATGACAATATTAATTATGACATGGATAGTAATGGTTATAATAGTAATAATAATAATATGAACAATAATGATAACAATAATAATAATGATAATAACAGTTATTTTCATAATCATCATCAACATAATGATTTTTTTAAATATTAATAAATAAAGAAAAAGGAATCTAAGATAGAGGGAGGAGGAAAGGAGGAGGACTGGAGGAGGAGGGGAGAAGAAGAAGAAGAAGAAGAAGAAGAAGAAGAAGAAGAAGAAGAAGAAGAAGAAAGAGAAAATGAGAAAGAGGGGAGGAGGTAAAGGAGGAGGAGGGGGAGCTAAGAGGAAGAAGAAGGAATTCAGAGGAAGTGTGTGTTTGGTTGGATAGGGGTATTTGTTTTATGTTACAACTGATTTCAATTTTTTTTCATCAATTGTACAATTTATGTAATGAAAATGTTTTGAATTCATGTCAAAGAAAAACAACTGTATTTTATTTCTAAAATCAATTTATATTGTTTGGAATCAATATAAAAAAACTATTGAAAAACAAAAGAAGCAACCTATGGATGAAGACTTACAACATGTTCTAAGTCTAACCCACAAATACAAAATACAAAATATCGACACATTATTGACATAATTATCAACAAGTAGAATCAATGAACTAACACTGAATAAGTAGTTTTATGGAAATAGCTCCACAGTTAACCCAAACCTTTTAACTAAATATAACTTTGCCAAATTATCACTTGCAAAATAGGAGTAATTTTAGTATTTAGTAATTTTTAGTATTCTAATAACTTTTCACTATTACAAGAGTCTTATATTAATTTTGTCAAACTTTTCACGTGTGTGTTAATTTTGCGGGGTATATTGCACAAGCATTAATTATCCTCCCTCAAAATTGGTTGGGAGGGGGGGGGGGGGGGTGTACGCAGCCCCGGAATTTACGCCCATACCGTACCGGGGAGGCGACAGACTCTTCTCCCTGGAGGGATTCCGTGTTTGTTCTTCCTTCTGCACTGGGTATCATCATCGAGAGGAGATGCTGGGATGAGCTTAGGGATGGTCACCACCGTAGACCCATCTTCTCGCTGAGCCGTGAGGCATGGGCGAAACATGGGTAGGGTGTAGTTGAGTCCGTGGCCATCGCTACAGCAGCTCTGCCCTCTGTTGTCAGGACTTGACTGTAACGAGGCCTCTGCATTTGATTCTTTTTCAATGATAATAATAATAATAATA